CCCCCCCCAACGAAAAAAAACTTATTGAAAAGAATAAAACATGAACACACCTTTTCAGCCAGAGATACCGATATCATGCCGATTCCATCCGTGAAACAGTATGATTCGTTTTTTATGTCTGATACGTATTCTACACTTTCGTCCTCTACCGCAACAGTAGCCTTTGAAGCGGAGAAACACAAACCCATTCGCGATACGTATAATGCAACACACCTCTCCGCAGTAAGATCGCCAATATCATTTCTTATGCTTTCCGATGTTATGTCGTTGTAAGGGCAAAAGAACCACACTCCATGTTCTCGCAACTGGCTATTGGAGCAGGCTAAGAACTCGTACTTCCTGTCGCCAATCGTAAATCCTTCGTCTAGAAATTTGCGTATTCGTTCAGAAATTCTGTTCAGTACGTTTCCACTAGCACCCAGTCTTGTGAAATCTTCATCTCGGAAAATAACACGGATGAAGTTGTCGTCGTTGTACTGGCGAATAATTCTGTTTTTGACAATTGGTTCCTTGAGGAGAGGAATTACACGGGTGGGAGTCACTACCAGTCGTCGGGACATAGTGAAATGTGGAGATAACTCATCACTATCTTCCACTAAATGTTTGACCTGTTGCAGGCTCTCCGTCAATACGTTCTCGAAATCAAAGAATTGGGTGTTCTCAGCTGTACTTGCCATACGATGGAACACGTCTGGAGGCAGATTAAATCTGTTTCCTCTCAGCGTCTGTATTGACTGTGGGGTGATTGTGTCTGTTACTTTGAAACCACCCGAGAGAAGACACTGCCATCCATACTCAAGATCAAACGTCTTAAACCGAACGTTGCGCGTAAGATCCTCTTTTTGTGGCAATTTGTCTGTGACATTTGCGTACGATAACGAAAATCCCCGTTGCTTAAACCTTGCCAAAATCGGCCAGAAATCTGGCTTGTCCTTTGCTGCTGGCAATTCAGTTACATTATTGTCAGGAATGGTCAAACGAATGACTGAGGTATTTCCCAAATCTTCTGGGTTGATTGGGTGGATGGATACCTCTCGTATCTGGTTTTTGGCATTGTAAACGTTGGAAACTTTAGGAACATACTTTAATCCAAAGTAAATATCCCAAGAGCTTTCATGGCGTTGAGCAACCAATCTATCTTCAATTTGACTATATGGTATCTGGAACATTTCTCCAGATGTCTTAATTTCGACAAGCTCTCTGTTATGTTCAAACGTTGCCGCCCATTTGATCACACCGAAAAGTTGTGGCGATTCGCTAATACGCCAATGGCAAATGAAGCAATTCGAAGATGCAAACGCACCACCAGAAATAGTGACGTTATTAAAACAAGAAGATGATGATTCTGAATTGTTGACAATTTTGTACATCCTTCGTTCCAACGGAATAACCTCCATCCACGCAGCATGCTTACATTTCCCCTGGAATACAGACCACTTTTCGAATAGCAATTTTTCAAGTTCCTGCAGGCTGACGCCATCTTGAAGTTTAATTTTGGCCCTGTAACATTCGGCAAGGTAACCAAAGCTCTTTTCAACTAAAAAAGAAAAGAAAATACAAATTGTTTATCGCAAAGCTCTAGATAAAGTAGGTAAACAACAATGCTGGTCCCGGCTCAATTTATTGTTTTTGTTGAAATAAACTCACTTAAAATACTTCAGAAGAAATATAAATGTACCTCAGGTCAGTCGCCTTTATTCTTACCAAAACAAAAATATTGTTATATCTGTGTTACGGCAATGTTAAAATCTTCCTTTTAGGAAAACACAGTATTCAAATTATTTTTTATTTAATTTTGAAAGATATTTTTTGTGATCACAGATTTGGTTATTTTAGTATATGCAATTACCCCTTATTATCTCCTCTTTCAAAGTAACGAAAGTTGACATTTTAATCAATGTTGAAATGTCTGTCGTAGTTATTCAAGTTAAATAAAATTACCCCCATCGGTTTCTTCAGTTATCGTGGTAATCTCAGCAACATTTCTTGGCAAGGCATCTTCTAAAAATTGTCTTACATAGTCTGAACCCGGCAAATAGTGAAACCAGACTTCGCAAGTTCCATGTGTTGTATGAGGCTGTTGTTTCCTGTTGGTATCAGTCTCCTTGGTAGACCCCCCTGAACGTTGTTGTTGTTGTTGCCGCTGTTGTTTTGGCAGTGGTACATGTTGACTTGCCATTTTCAGGTTTGTTGTTCGATCGCTATTAGCAGACAACACGCACTGATAAATGTCTAAAAACGTTATGTTTTCTAGGATTTGCTTATCCAAAACTAAATAGGAAGCCCGCGTTTATATTTTCCATTGTGATCATCACTGTTAAACAGAACAAATAGTTCTCCTTTTGGTCACAAAATAGTAACAATATTTGGTCCCAATTCGATACATGTGCATTGTCTGTATTACCACCTTACAACTGGGTAAATTTGGCTTGATTGGTTGCTTGGTTGATGGGTTTTATGTTTACACATCACTGACGAAGTCGGTGTTCGGTCGGCGTGAGGGGATAAGTTTCCGCTTACCAGGCCCTAGGAGATTCTTAAGTCCTGCCCATCCAGGTCACGCTCTTAGGTCGGACAGCTCCTCAGATGTGGCAAGCTGACGTTGCTACTGCGGTCCACGGAACGACGTCCTTAGTTAAGTCCTCGCTGTCCTCCTATGGCACGTTTGGCTGTTTTAACAGTATTTATAATACATTATAAAGAGGAGACTAGATCCAAATTATTTTTGTCATTGTAATGTCCTCTAAAGGGACAAGTATCATACACAACACTTTCCGAAAAATGTCCGCGATAGTGATCAAAACATGTAATAAGTACATGCCTCTTAAATGTAAGATGAGTTCCTTATAAATAGGATAGTACAAAACAGATTAGAATAAAGTAGCTACGCTAAAGTGTTACTTTTGAAAGATCTCTATGAAAACATACCATGTCTCCGGTACACATACACTCATGCACGTTTACACAACACAATGGAGGTACGTCCTTGAATGACCTTAGCTGTTGATAGGACCAAAATCACACACGGGCCACATTAAATATGCACATGAATTCTCAGTAGATTAATTACAGGTATATGATTGCATTTAAGTCAAATCTTCACGTTGGTATCTTCAATTATGAAATATGGTTGTAGATCTCATCTTTCTAATGGAACAAACGACGCCAATTCGTATTCATTTGTTGAACAGATTGACTGTAATAACATAAATGATAAAGTTACACATGTGAATCATACAAACGCATTGCACTATATAACAAGGTAACATGCACACATACAAATTTATCGCAAGAAAATGACTAGTTGAACTGTGTCATGTATCGTTTACAATCATTATGGCTATGTAATTCAACAGTCTGATATATTACAATTGTTCATGATTCTGTTCAGTTTCCGTATCGTTTCCACTTAGTGTGATTAAGATCACAACATGCTTTGCGGCCATGTTTCTATCGACATCCCATAATCAGGGCGAGAGTAAAATTAGAACCAAGTCCGGGATTACTAAATTCGGAACAGGATCCTACCTGCCTGAATCGCTGCAATAGGCCAATACAATGGTAATGCTCTGTTGTGCTGTTGTCCAAAACAGTATATATATACGCTATCAGTGATCATTATTGGTACTCTAAACACAACAGTGTATTTAAACACCAAACACACATTTTTTTGTATTTCTGCTTGATTAAACATTTTGTGCTCGAAACAAAACCGTGTTATGAAATAGCCTTGGCGTCGATAAGTGTTTAAGACACGTAGTATAATTTGATATTTTCCAGTACATATGACGCTATATCAATTATGACCAACGATCACTGTAAGTGTCCTGTCACGAATACATACAGTGGTACATCGACTGCTGGTTTGTGTTAGATGATATATCAGTGGTGTATCAGGATACCCTGATATTGTCTGTGACTGTTCGTGAAATGTGGGGAAACACAAATGTTCATAACGTACATTTACTATGTTAAATATCCATGGAATCAAACATATTTTAATAAACAGCCTTATATCGAGCCGCAAATGTGACGTCTTCATAACCTTGTATCATAATACTTTAATATTACTGTATATCAATTCTGAGGACATAATATGCTGCATATTTTTGTAAAGGAAGATTCCTTATACAACAAAATATACATAAATACAGTCATTAATCACTATTCGCATTTCTTGTTGTATATATGTTATATCATTTCAACTCCGTCATTTTAATAAAAATTACACAAAATTTGAAACAATGTCTTTGTTGGTTTCTGTTTCATAATAACAAGAAAGCAAAACTAGCTGTGTTGATCTACCTAAAGTATTAGTTGGAGACAATATAAAACGCTATGTGTTATACTTATTTGTAACATTGATAAGTATTTACAAAATTAACTTGAACAAATGTTACCTTTCTGGCATTAAACCTTGCGTATGTGTGCCTCCGGTCCAGCCTATGCTGCGGTCGCCATTTTGACGGCTTGGTGTTTATTGATAACTGTGCCATTACTGTACTGTATACTATATCGTACTGTAACGAACTTTAGATCACATATCTGCGATAAGTCCTTCTCAATCGTCCTCGTGCACTAACAATTTAAATTTAACAAAAGCAAATTAAATCAACGTACCTTAGTAGGCGAAGTGTTCAGTATGGCACAAAAGTTGTTCAAGAAGTCATGAATAAGGACCAGAAATTGGGCCGTACTAAGATTAAAGAATACTTTAGTTATATATATATATATATGTATAGGGGGACTATAAATAGCATATTATGTCACGTTTATTTAGTTATGTCAACCTAAATTTATTGAAAGAAAAAGAAATCCCATGGATTCAGATGAAGGGTTCCATGCTTGGGGTTTTATATATTTGTTTTCTGAATAGAAGAACATTGCAGAAAGTTTCATTCGTAGAAAGATCTAGGCATAGAAAATATAAGTCATCAATTTAGAAAACCAAATTAGGCAACATTATGGGATCGAAGTGTGCTAGATTCATACTGAAAGATTGTCATAAGTTGTCTTATTTATCACATTTAGATCACATGAACATGTGAACATTTATTTCCAATCTTCATCTGATAACAATATTCATTTTCTATCAACATATAACTGATTCCTACACATTTTAACGGGGATATTCCATAGTGAATAGGAAATCAAGGCTGTCTAAGTAAGGATGTCCCAGGGGAACAAATAAGTAGACCTAAATTAGTTACAGTTCCTCTCCGTACGTACTCACAATTTTTCTTGACTACTTCCTAAGCTTAAATACACCATAGTTCTGGATACAAATAGTGTACACTTACCAGTTTACAGTGTAGATTTATACCCCTTTCTTGATTGAAAAAAAGATGTTGATGGAAGAACAGTGCCATTGCACGCAAAGTGTTAATACGCTTCCCGTACACACCTAGGTGAGTTAAACTGTCGGGGTATTTATATTAGCTAGGTAACACAACACTATCGCATGCAGATAGTGTCTGATAAGACAGCTCATGGAAAAATTCTCAAGTACATTGCTTGTATTGATTGATGGTATGAACTGTAATGTACATATATTCATTATTAATCATATGCGATATCAAGGAGAGGTTTTGTTACAAAAATTAACGATGCATGACTCAATTTCTATACATAATTAGTGTTCCTTTACTTTGTTTTCTTGCACTAAACATACACGTTTTTTCAGACTGTACTTAAGGTAGAATTTTATAACTGGTTTACTGGTTTATTAAATACATTTCTTTCATGGAACGTTATTTGTTCTTCTAAAATACTAACATGGCTTAGGATGATAGTTTGACGATTCTGTTGTGCCAAGTGCCATACTGGGAATTCTGGTGAAAGTACCCAATGTTAGTGTTGGTCCATACGGTTTATATACACATCGTAGTCCTCATGTAACTTACCAATAAATATAGCGGGGGAGAAGTACTATGGTAAAATTTTTCTCCTTTTTCCAAGCAACTTCTTCAGCTATCAAGTGAAACTTTCCTTTTGGTGTTGTTACCGTGTATTTTCCACAGTAAAATTAGCGTGAAACTATGTCCTCATTATAACTACCAATAAGGACAACAAAAAGAACTTTCATCAAATTATAATTTTTTATTCAAAAAGTTCAAAATCAAAAACAGAAAAAATAGCTTACATTTAAAACATAAACGCTCGTTTTCTATTCACTAAGAGGCTTTTTTAACATAACACTGCTAACAATAACACTTCCCGTATAAATCCACCACTCCCATACTATCCAAATTGATGGAGATCGAAGTTTTATAATAGACTTTTACATTTATATTGAAAGAGGATGGCAATCATAAACTGACCCAGTACAATAATACATTGCTTCCCTGACAATTTCAGTAATACCGAAACATATCTAAACAGATTTTGATCTTTATCTTGTCTTTGCGATAAAGCTTTCTGCTTGAGTGTTTTTGATACAACTAAGCACAGGGCTTTGCTAGACCCGGATGTTTTTGATACAACAAAGCACATGACCCTTCTCGACCCGGGTATTTTTTTATACAATTAGCACAGGGTCCTGCTGGACCCAGGTGTTTTTGATACAACTTAGCACTTCTCCTATAACATAAGAGGCCGCTGGTCGGCCTTTTTTCTATCGGATATGATTTTAACGACTGCGCCTGTCAAAAGTATCTCGCCGTGTAAACTTCTAACGCTGTTGGAGTAAACTTGTAGCACATAGCCCTGCTGGATCCGTTTTTTTTATACAACTTAGCACAGGGCCCTGTTCGGCCATACCCTTTAATACACCTTAGTACAGGGCCTAGTTTGGCTTGGGTACTTAAGATAAGGTTTGGTGCCACTGAGCCAAACATACGTAGCAATATGTATTTGCCAAGGCATATCGGTTACGTTCCTTTTTACACCTATCGAACTGTTAGTCAACCGATGTAATGTAGTATTATTATTTTCAGGAAATAATTTATCAGCATCCAAACATTCTAGTTAAGAAAACACATAAAAAATATAATAAACTCGATATTACATTACATATCTACATAATAATATTAATATTATATGTAGGTAATTAAAAAAAAAGATATCGCCCCAAAAAGCAAACCACACACACTTATTCCAAAATTTGACAGAATAAAGGCATTAGATATTATGGTAGCAGACCTTAATGAGACCAACCTGGAATAGGTCAATCTGCCTCATTATTTAAGAGGAACATATAGCCTACAAAAACGGTTTAAAAGAGACACACAGATAATCATGATATGTATCCCCCAGAAACATAAGCTTGTCAGTTCAGGAAAGAGAAATAGTTGGCTGGGTAGTTTATGAACTTAAGTAAGAATGGAAATGCCAAATTCCCTTTAGAAAGGTACAGTTTCGAACTGGAGCAGATTCTTGAGATTTGTACATTTAGGAGAAAAATGCAACGATTCTTGAGATTTGAACAGTTAGGAGAAGACTACAACTGGAAACAAACAGCTTCCATTCAAAACTTCCAATCTGTAATTCGAAAAAGGATGACTGGTTGTCATTTTGTTGTAAAAAATTAATCCAGGTGACTCTCAGTAACTATGAAATACGGGATACCAGAGGCAGGACGATGACTCGTGGTATATATTAAACATTAAGGTTTCTATCTATGAATACGATTAAGATTACTTGAGAAAATTGTACTTTTGTATTTGTGTTTGTTTTCATATATCAATGAAACTATGAGATAAGCAAAAACAGATACTCCTTTGGATTTAACCTCAAAGAGAAAACTGAATTATGTACTCTTGGAATTGAAGATGTTTTGGTAGGTTTGTTTTGCATTGCTTCTAATTATATAATCAAACCCGTATCGATTGAATGTTGTAAATGACACGTGAAGTTATTCAAGTGTTTGCTTATAAACAAAGAACTTGTCAGTAATTTATTTGCATGACATGTTTTAAACCTTTTAAAAAATGGCTATAAACTTGTTCCATATCAGTCCCTATAGTTATGTGGATTTGATAGGGTGGCATCTTGTAAATTACCTCGACCTTGCATCTTGCAGTTAATATTATACCAATGTATAAATACATTATCTTTTATATTCTGTCTGATGATGTGTTTCATTCAATATAATCTAAACGGAGCTTGTTGCTTTAATGGGGCGATAATATCCATAATGATCCAAACATCAATGCCAAAAACTGTACCTATGCACAAAAAACTATTTGCCAGCACGACCATAGCTTTGATAAATCATTTCTTAAAAGAAAACCATACCTTACGACATCAGCAGTGTGCTAAGCGTAATAATGGATCGCAACCAGAATAGGATTCGAACCCCGGATCCCAGATCAATATATTGTCACTCTAACCATCAAAACAAACTAATAAACGGAAGTAATCTTGCCATGTCGAGTTACAAAGATATGCAAGACAAACTGTAAGGTTACTGTATGTACGCAAAAATATAGCGGATCTCTATAGCGTTTTGCATGTATCGGGACAGAGATCCTTGAGTACGTGCATGTTGCTACTATATTTGTAGGAAAATATAGTTGTACTTACTGTATCGTAAAACAGTTATATGTTTCTATTTCTAAGTAAAAGTACAACAGTAAAATTTCATTGTCTTAATATTGCAGTCAAAAGGATGTAACATACATTAAGTACAAATACATCAATACTAATTAACTGCATTCATATTACAGTTAATGTAGTACTCATTAAAAAGGTACATCACTAAGTACTTATTGTATTAATTTTACAGTAACATGTATATACTTACATTTAATGAAAAGCACATCGATATATTAAATAACAGAATGCATGCTACAGAAACATGGAGTTAATTCTTCATCAAAAAGAATCAATACTAATTAAATGTCAAGAAAATGGTCAGACTATGAGAGGAACTGTGAGCAACATTCAACTAAAACTAAAGGACGCAACCAATTTTAAACTATAATTAAAGGACGCAACCAATTTTAAACTAAAACCGATATTGTTAATATGTTGTAATTTGTAAAGATGGTACACACTTAATGATTGCTGAAAAAACGAGATATTAACATTCGCCTGAAAATTTCAAAAACTTTGAAAATACGTTGAAATTTAAATCTCAGCGTTATTAAGAATTTGGCAAATTTGCCTTTTTTATCGAAAACACATTTTTCCTTTTTCTTCTTTTTGAGATTTTAAGAATCAATCGGTGTCAATTACCAGCCACTTCATTAATTTATGTTGCAGAATATGTAAATATGTAACAAATTTTGACTTATTTGTTTCCAGCTTACCTATCTCAATGACGCAATTAGGATGATAGACAGTTTGTATGACTATCCTTCATTTTATCGTAGATACTGTACACAGTTGGATAGGAGCCATGGCCTACATACAAAACGAAACTGCTCTCCTAACGTAATTCGTGGAACGCGCCCGGTACAACGAATCTAGAACGTCAATAGTCTCTGTAAACGAGAAACTAGGTCATGGAATAATCTTCCGCGAATAAGCGTAAAACGAAAGTAAAACAAACATTGTACTTACTTTTTATATTTGAAAAGAAAATCAATAATACACTTTCATATTTCACATAGATGAAGTGTAAATATTACTTTCTCTTTTAAGAATAAATTTGAAGCAAAACAAACACGTTAAACTGTGTGCGTATTGTAAGATTCCAAAAAAGGAAATGTAAATATCGTAAAAATTGAAAAACTGTGTTTATACCGCTAACATTAATTTTGATTACATAAACGTACCGTAGTTCATTTATGTTGCATTACTGAACCTTTGTGATCCGGATAGACATATAAAAACCAGACATTCATCAGTTCTCATCATTTACATAGTTACATAAATTGAACCTGGATAGTTTTGTAGACTATTAATTAAAAACCGTACCCTAACATATTGGTCCCGATTAAACCAAACATTATAAAACCAGACCTTCACAGTGGTATCGTCGTAAACAAAGCTATATAAAGTTTAATTCAGAGATATTTAACAAAGCTATATAGAGTTTAATTCAGAGATATTTAACAAAGCTATAAAGGGTTTAATTCAGAGAAAGGAATATTTCTCTTGGTTTCTTTAGTGATCGGTTATGACATTTTCAAAGTAAAATTATGGTTTGATAGCTTAAGCCTCTAAACAATAATGCCAACATGATATTGGCATTTATTATTCATGATGTTCATTTTAACACAGATAAAATGAAAAGAGTCACATTGTGTTTTGCTGCATATATCAAATATCATGGTATTCGTGGTTTGGTCATTATGAAATCAGTTTCTCTGAAACAAAAATTGACTAATGTGCAAATATACGCAAACATTAACAACGCGTAAAATATTATTACGAAAAATTACACTCCGTGATAAAAAATTCCATAAACCATTACTACTAAAAATAACCGTTAAATACCACTCGGTAAAATAATAAAATAGCATTGCACAAAGTATACAAATATACAAGTGACGGTTCTGAAACGTTTCTGTTTAATTGAAAAAAATATGTAATTTTCATTGTA